AAAAATATCAAAGTATAGTAAAGAAATTTAACCCCCCACCTCTTTCAAAATGTTAGGTTATAATCCCCTGAAATGCAAAGTTAATGGAAATATGATTTTTATAGCAGTACTGAATAAATCTGCTGGAACAACAGGGAGGTTTCAATTTCCATGTAATGTCTAATATATAAGCATTCCTGTTTTAGTTATGCGAAATCAAGGCAGTTTGAGACTGATTCTCAACACCAAACTCTGGACTCAGATGGCAATAGAAAGAGCAAATCGCAAGAGTCTGTGCATCACTGCGACAGACTTAGAAGACCATTCTGTTAAAGTATTTCTAATACAGGTAAGAAAAAATTGAAAAAGAACAAGTATCTAGAACTTGCAATTTAGCTCAGATTCCTTGTTCTGGCAAGCCTCCTTATGGTAAAAAGGGTAAGGCTATAACATGTACACAATTACCATTGAGGTCAATTGCTGTTTTGTGGAAAAAGTTGAAGGTCTGATATGGCCCAAGGAGATAACCAGATCACTGTATGAGACAGCCAGCAGGGGTCACTAAAGCAATGGTATACAAATTGTTCCCAAACTGTGGTCTGTGGACCATCAGTGATCTGTGGAACTGGCTACTCCATGATGCTAAATAACATTAAAAGATGCCTAAAATATATCAACACACTTTCCTGATTTTTCCTTCTGCATAGAAACAATTGCTATAGTTGCCACAGGTATATTATTCAAAGTGGTGGGTGTGGTTGATGGTGGGGGGAATAGTCCATGCAATCGTGACTAGAAGGGCAGGTAGTCCACAAGAGTCGCCAATATGATATATAAGACCATAAGAATGTCCATACTGGGTCAGACCATTGGTCCATCTAGCCCAGTATCCTGTCTTCTGACAGTGGTCAGTGCCAGAAGCTTTAGAGGGAATGTTCAGAACAGGGCAATTATCAAGTGATCCACCCTCAGTTGTTCAGTCCCAGCTTCTGTCAGTCAGAGGCTTAGTGACACCCAGAGCATGGGATTGCATCCCTGGCCAACTTGACTAAGAGCCATTGATGGACCTATCCTCCATGAACTTACCTCATTCTTTTTTGAACCCAGTTATTGTTTTGGCCTTCACAATATCCCCTGGCAATGGTTGACTATGCATTGTGTGAAGAAGTACTTCCTTATGTTTGTTTAATAGGCAGCAGGTTTAATTTCATTGGGTAACCCCGATCCTTGTCTTATGTGAATGGGTAAATAACACTTCCTTATTCACTTTCTCCACATCATTTGTGATTTTATAGGCCTCTATCATATCCCCCCTTTAGTCATCTCTTTTCTAAGATGAACAGTCCCAGTTTTTTAATCTTCCATATACGAAAGCTTTTCCATACCCCTAGTCATTTTTGTTGCCCTTTTCTAATACTAATATATCTTTTTTGAGATGTGGTGACCAGAACTGCATGCAGTATTCAAGGTGTGGGCATACAATGGATTTATATAGTGGTGCTATGATATTTTCTCTTACTATCTATCAGTTTCCTAATAGTTCCTAACATTCTGTTAGCTTTCTTGTCTGCCGCTGCACATTTAGCAGCTTTTTTCAGAGAACTATCCAAGCTTTCTTTCTTCAGTGGTAACAGCTAATTTAGATCCCATCATTTTGTATGTATAGATATGATAATTTTTCCCAATGTGCATTACTTTTGCACTTATCAACATTGAATTTCATCTGCCATTTTGTTGCCCAGTCACCCAGTTTTGTGGGGTCTCTTTGTAACTCTTCAGTCATCTTTAGACTTAACTGTCTTCTTGAGTAATTTTGTATCTTCTCCAAACTTTGCCACATCACTGTTTACCTCCTTTTCCAGATCATTTATGAATATGTTGAACAGCGCAGGTCCCAGTACAGATCCTGCTATTTCTCTTTACATTGTGAAAACTGACCATTGTTTCCTAGATTTTAACCAGTTACTGATCCATGGGAGGACCTTCTCTTATCCCATGACTTCTTACTTTACTTAAGAGCCTTTGGTGTGGACCTTGTCAAAAGCTTTCTGAAAGTCCAAGTACACTATATCAACTGGATCATCCATGTCCACTTGCTTGTTGACACCCTCAAAGAATTCTAATAGATTGACGAGGCACGACTTCCCTTTACAAAAGCCATATTGACTCTTCTCCAACAAATCATGTTCATCTGCGTGTCTGATAATCCTGTTCTTTACTATAGTTTCAACCAATTGCCTGCTATTAAAGTTAGTCTGTAATTGCCAGGATCAGCTCTGGAACCTTTTTTAAAAAATTGCCATTACCTTAGCTATCCTCCAGTCATCTGGTATAGAGGCTGATTTAAGTGATAGGTTAGGTATCCCAGTAAGTAGTTCTACACTTTCATATTTGAGTTCCTTCAGCACTCTTGGATGAATACCATCTGATTCGTCCTGCTGATTTACCAATGTTTAATTTATCAATTTGTTCCCAAACCTCCTCTCTTGACACCTCAATCTAGGACAGTTCCTCAGATATGCCTAAAAAGAATGGCTCACCCATGGCTCAGGTTCAAAGATATATGAACAAGTTTGAGAACCAATGAAAAAGGCAGCTACTTGAGTCTGATCTATAACATTTGCAACCCTAGGCCGACTTTGTCCCTGAAAAGCTGCATATTCCCGTGATGACAAATTACTCGGTTGACAACTGAGCTAATTTCTGCTGAAACACCAACTCTGAATTGCTCTCAACTGCTTTCTTCTGTGCATGGCTATGGTGAAAGGAAAGTTTTTGGCTGCTGCAAATGTGAGCAGCATGGAAGAAGAGCCAGATACTCTACTGCTTTGCAACTCTTGCAGTCACTTACACCTGTGCAAAGTGAATATAAATTGGGTATAAAACTACCAAATCAGACTAGTATCTTTCTACTCTGAATTTGTACAGGTGTAAATGAATCCACATGGTGCAAAGCAGTGGAGTATCAGGCCCCAGAAGACCATGTGCTTTCAACTACCCTATGGTAAATGATTTCCTTCCAACTTCACCAGCAGAGTTCATGGCATCTTTTCATTTGTTAATCAGAGAACTCATTTTTGGTGTTAATTCTGTCTTTACTTACCTCTAACGAGAAATATGACTAGGAATTTTCACAATCCATATATGTTTTATTATTGTCAGAAGTACATTTTGTTACTGAGGAGTTGCACAGAGTCGAGAATATTAAGTATTCAATAAAAATTGAGTCATTCACTGAGAGGAATCATAATTTTTGTTTTAAGGTTGCATCCATTATCTCAAAGAAAACAACCAACAATTTTTAACAAATTCTAAAACACAGACCATTAAGACAAACTTAATATTATTTGTATTTAAGTCGATTTTCTCACAAAGTTACTAAATTGGAATCTTATATAAATTCTTTTGACTCCAAAGGACAATAAGTGTCTGATTAAGGGATTTTAGCTCTTTTCAGTCCTTTTGAAATCTCTCCCCTTTGCATCTGCACTTCAGTGGTTGGTTGGGATGCAGTCAGAGTTATTTTGCAGTTATTTTCAATGGTTGTATGCACTTTATTTTCTACAGGCAAGTTCAAAAGATACTGGGTACCTGTATGCAGCAATACATCACCGTCTTGTTGCACTGCGAAGCTTTGCTGAGCAAGAATTGGATGCAAATCAGGTTGACACAGAGCCAGAAACAGCCTTTCATTCATTAAACTGTGATAGTGATGATGAGGAGGAGGAGGAGGATGAAACAATAACTCAAGCGAGCAGCAATGAATCAGGTAAGCAGAGTTTTTCCTGAGACTTTTGTGCTCCTTTGAACTTCACTTGGTGCCCTGAGAATCCCATTTCTACCCCCTTTTATTAACCTCTACTTTCCATCCAAGTGCCTCTATTACGGTGACCCTCTCTCCAGCACTGAAGTAGGGTTTTAATATTTTGACAGGCTTGTGTCAACAGTGCCAAATTCTTTTAAAATAAATAATCAGAGTAGTCTTTTGACAGAAGAATGAGTGTCAGGATATCTGGGTTAAAAATTTTCAAGCTTAAAGTTAAGGCTCCTAAACCCAGACTTGGATATCTCAGTTGAAGTAGTCTGTAGTGCTGCGCTTAATTTCCACTTACTTCATTGGAAGTTGAGTCCACTTATACCAGTGCTGCATATAGTTTATGGTAGTTAGTCTACCTGAACCATAAAAATGGTCATTTGAACCAAATTTATGTAATGTCTGATTTCTTTTAAACATCAACCTATGCTGACAGATTGTAACAGTCATTTATGGATGGTAAAACGGGTTGACAATGCAAGCACCAGGAGATTTTATACTGTTACAGGATGTTAAGAACTTTGATAAAGCGATAGATTCTGTCTACCAGGAGATTTGTGGGGCTAGACACCCTGCCCAGGATTAATCTGCTTTCACCAGTGGAACAAAGACTACAACCCCCACGGGTGAAGAGTCCACCTAAAGCAGGCTGTATTGGAGCAAGATGCTCACAAATCTCACTCCAGTGGCAGTTAGCACAGCCCATAAAGTGGCTGGGGTCAACCATGGAGAAGTCAAGGGACTCTAGAGATACAGTGGCTAGAGCTGAAAGTTGCCTTTCCTTAGTGGAAGGCAGGCACTACGCTGCCCAAGTGGGGAGATTCACCCCAGGAGAGCTGCCGTTGTGCATGTAAGGGTTGTAAATTGCATCTACGTCTTCTCTCAGGAGGAATACGGCAGTGATGTTTGAATTATCATCAGCCACGTGACACTTCTCCTTCCAGTGGAGCTGCAGGCTGTTCCCTTTTTAGTTTTTAAAAAGAATTCTTCAGCAAGGATCAAATCACATACAAATAACAGTTTTGAGTGACTGTTTACTTTAGGAAACAAACATGCCTTTTTTCCTGTTAGCAAAAATATGACAGTTTACAATACTTGTTCCCATAATCATTTGTTTTATCTCTATAATATTCAGTTCACAGAACAAAACATGCCATTATTATAAAACAAAACTTTTTTTTCCCCAAGTACCCATTTGCAAATATTATTCCATTAAACAAATGGGGAAAATGTTAGTCTTTTTGTTTTTCTTTACATTAATACACTTGGTATACAGAATTAATTTAAATGAGTGCCAGGACTTTAGAGTTGGTAAAATAATTGAAAATATTAACATTAAGCACTTTTCCAAATTACTTAACATGAAAACTCCCTTGTTATCCCCAAATAGTCAAACTCGCTCTGTGTCCTTCCAAAAATAGTCTCCACTGGCTTTAAGAAGAGTTTCTGTTAATTTGAAAATTTCATATGAAGTTGGATTCCTTTCCAGAATTATTGACAATAAGGACTTCTAGTTCTTGCACAAAGGCTGAGGTGAAAGGTAATGTCAAAAAGGTATAGGAGAGTGGATTTACAGTCAAAGACTTCTGATGCAGAAGTTGAGATAGCAGGTGACAAACAGAATCTGAGATCTGTGTTTTAGGAGCACAAAAATAAGAGAATACCCTTCTGCCGGTTACTCCTGGATGCTTAATCCAAACCTCTGTTTTTCATGTCCAAGTGATCATTGACAGTAGTACTCACAGTCCCTTTCAACAAATCTTCGGGTGGCCTCTAGCATTTACTGCTTTACCTTCATCTCACTTGTTATCCTTATACCCATTAGATCTTCATCTTGTGTAGGTTTTGCCTTCCAGTATTCTGTCCCCACTTTACACTCATACAGTCGCATCTAGTCATGCAACCCAATCTTGCAGCACACTCACTCCTGGAACTCCATTTCTAAAATGATTCATGATGCCCTGCTGTCTCACAGGCAGTTAGCATTTGGCTTACTTGTGGCTCTTCTGGTTGAAATACACAGTAAGCAGTTTCTTTTAACAGAGTGTCGAAAAGTGAGAATCGCATGGAGTATTACTTTCAAAAACTGGCAGGCTAGAATGCTCAAAGTGCAGGGAGTTCTCAAAATTTCCCTTTATCTTTCTCTTAAAGGTTTTTCTGATCTGCAGAATACAATGTTCTCCATCACTGGCTACACCCAGATACCTCCTGGTTTTGTTTACATACTTGGGGCCTCATTCATAGATTTTAAAGCCATTGTAGTCATCTAGTCTGAGTTCCTGCATAACTCAGGCCAAAGAACCTCACCTAGTAATCTCTGCATCAAGCCCACGACTGCTGTTTGAGCTATATCTTTTAAAAAGATATTCAGTCTTGATGTAAAGACTGTAAGTGATGGAGAATCCACCATGTCCCTAGATAAGCTATTACAATAGTTCTTCCCTGTTCATATCTCTTCTCATCAGGCAGAGGGAGGAATTGACTTGGGGTCTTCCACATCCTGGATGAGTAACCTAACCACTGGGCTAATGGCTATAGGTAAGGCCCTACCACATTCACAGTCCATTTGGGTCAATTTCATGGTCATAGGATTTAAAAAATCATAAATTTCATTATTTCAGCTATTTAAATCTAAAAATTCAGTGTTGTAATTGTAGTGATCCTGACCCAAAAAGGAGTTGTGCAGTGGTCGCAAGGATATTGTAATGGGGGTTGTGGTACTGCTACCCTTACTTCTGTGCTGCTGCTGGTAGCAGCGCTGTCTTCAGAGCTGGGCAGCTGGAGAGTGGTGGCTGCTGGCTGGGAGCCCAGCTCTGAGGTCAGAGCCACCGCCAGCAGCAGCGCAGAAGTAAGAATAGCATGGTATGGTATTGCCACCTTTACTTCTGAGCTGCTGCCTGCAGAGCTGTGCCCTCAGTCAGCAGCCGCTACTGTCTGGCCGCCCAGCTCTGAAGGCAGCAACACAGAAGTAAGGCTGGCATGGTATGGTGTTGCCACCCTTATTACTATGCTGCTGCTGGTGGGGTGCTGCCTTCAGAGCTGGGCACCTGGCCAACAGCTGTAGCTCTCTGGCCACCGAGCTCTGAAGGCAGCACAGAAGTAAGGGTGGCAATATCACGACCCCCCCCCCCAAATAACCTTGCAACTCCCCTGCAATGCCCTTTTGGGTCAGGACCCCCAATTTGAGAAATGTTGGTCTTCCCCATGAAATCTGTATAGTATAGGGTAAAAGCACACAAAAGACCAGATTTAACAGGGAGAGAACAGATTTCATGGTCTGCGACGCGTTTTTCATGGCTGTGAATTTGGTAGGGCCCTAGTTATAGAGGAGTCGTTATCCACATTCTCCTCTGCTTTGTGTGGCATTAGGCAGGCATCTAAGCCATTCTTGCAAGAAATGGCTTAAGTGTCTAAGCCACCCAGCTCTAGGAGAGGGGTTCCTGGCTGTGGATTTTAAGCAGAGATGGGTACCTACCTGCAGCCTGGACTTAGGTGCGGAATTCCCTGAGAAGGGCAGGGCTTAGGACATACCCTCTCAGAGGCATCTCCTATTGGCTTGCTTAGGAGACTCCTTGCCTAGCTGGCAGGCTTTTGTGGATTGCATTCTTAGATGAATATCTCTTTAGGATCCTAGGCTCCTAACTCAGGCTTTGTGGATCCCAGGGATTTTCTAGGCACCTACAAGTTAGACATTGCAATGCTCAGCATCATAGTGCCTAACCCTCTTTGTGAATTTGGGCCTGGGAATAGTAGCAGGCCCCCTAGAGTGTAATGATCTCATCAGCTTGTGGAAACAACCATTATTCTGTGAGAAGCACAGGGCCAGTGATCCTGAGGATGTTAGGAAAAAATGGTTCTTGATGAAGTGTCATAGTTGGAGCTGTTAGGCCAAAATAAGTCACTGTGAGATAGACTCTCACATCTGATGCTTTCAGAAGAGAGGATGAAATCCCAGTGATTCCTTGCTGGGGGGCCTTAGAAGGGATGCTTCCCTTCACTTCCATCATTCCTTTCTTCCTTGACCCCTACAGAAGTCTATTTATGAGGATCCAGATCTACAAGGGAGAAGAGATAGGTATGGGGAATATACCCATGGGGCTGGGGAGACAGATGCTACCATCAGATGAGGGCAGGAGACAAAAACTCAAAGGTAAGTAAAAAACATGGAGACCTGGGAGAAGGGTCGGAATCTGTTGGGGAGCATGGGCTGTTCTAGCAGGGATAAGAAAGAGACAAGGACAACATAGCGGGGAAATCAAATCAGTATCTTAGATGTATCTTATACTAATGCGAGAAGTATGGGAAATAAGCAGGAAGAACCAGAAATGCTAGTTAATAAACCCAACAGTGCCATAGTTGGCATCACAGAGACTTGGAGGGGTAATACACATGACTGGAATTTTGGTATAGAAGGGTACAGCTTACTCAGGAAGTGTTGCCTTATATATAAAAAATGTATACACCTGGACTGAGGTTGCGATGAAAATAGGAGACAGACTTGTTGAAAGTCTCTGAGTAAGGATAAAAGGGATAAAAACAAGGGTGATGTCATGGTAGGAGATAACTACAGACCACTTAACCAGGAAGAAGAGATGTATGAGGCTTTTTTTAAACTACTGACAAAATCATCCAAAGCACTTGGTGGTAATGGGGGACTTCAGCTACCCAGACATCTGTTGGGAAAATAATAGAGCATGGCACAGATTATACATCAAGTTCTTAGAAGGCATTGGAGGCAATTTTTTATTTCAGAAGCTCAAGAAAGCAACTAGGGGAGAGGCTGTTCTTGATTTCATTTTGACAAATAGGGAGGAACTGGTTGAGGATTTGAAATTGGAAGGCAGCTTGGGTGAAAGTGATCATGAAATGATAGAGTTCATGATTCTAAGAAATGTTGGGAGGGAAAACAGCAGAATAAAGACAGTGGTTGTCAAGAAGGATGACTTTAGCAAATT